TAGCTGAAATCCAAATTACCACATTAAAGCCAGAACTCTAAAAATCATGCAGTATAAACAGAGTCAATTTCCTAATATATATATTTTTCTTTTTCTCATTTACTTATAGGCAAATTACATTTTTTTTAACCTGAAGCAGGAGAGGGCCCTAGTAAAGGCAGAAGAAACAACAGTTCCAACCTCTCTGATATCTATTTGTACCAATTAGATTAAGTGATTTTTGCAAGCAGTGCAGTTGCAGGCTGGCCAGAGTGGGCACTAGATTTACGCACTCTGGGTTGGGGGCTCCATGGGTCCTCTGAATGCTGGATCTGCCACCTACTCTAGCCAGATGAGGACTGTGCCAAACACGGTGCCTGCTCCAGTCAGGATGGGACCTGCACAGAACAGCTAGAACAGGTCCCGCTTGCTGCCTATGTTCTGATCTGGCCAGAGCGAGCACTGCAGGTGCTGCATCCAGCATTTGGCGAGGGAGGAGGTAGGGTATCCATAGGCCCAATCCATCCTGTGAAGCCAACCACTCACCATTCATCTGGCCCATGGGCCAGATGAGTTTCACACCCTGATTTATATTATGCTAAAAACTTAATAGCTCTTCTGTACTTCTACACAAACAGCTACCATCCTTCTGGTTTGGGAGTAGTCAACACACAGCAATACAGCACCCTAACTTAGTGGTATAGACATACAAAACTATTTAAACAAAGTCGCCTCTGAAAGTCAATTAATCACAATGTACATATCAATATCTTCTTTCACAACAAACACCACCCAGGAACTGCACTAAACAGTCTTAGTAGTAGGGAAGTTTGTTAAGCTTGTTCAGTAACACCCTGATTCCATTTTATATAAATTCATTGCTGAATACAGTAGCAGAGGAAAGCATTCAATGATACCTTTAATAGAAAGCCAAGTCAGATCACCAGTGCCAGCATTCCACAAAAGAGTAAAATTCATTGATGTTAAGAGTAAATAATACAGATGCAATAGCCAGATGCTCAAAGAACAACCAAGGTGCAATATCTAAATAAATTAACTTCTGCATAAAACTTTGTATATGCTGGAAAAAACACAGCATATTCTCTAAAACACAGAAGATAAAAGCTCTCCTAATGCTACACAAACATTAGTATATCTTGACTATGTTTTTCATTTGTCTTCTATCACGAAGGAAGTAAAAATGCCTGATTATCATTCTAAATGGTAAATACAATACTAGAAAGAGCGTTGAAAACAGGGTTGTCTGCTATAAAACATTAACCTGCAAACAAAGCATTTTACTGCTAGTTAACTAAACAAAACCAACAGCATTTAGCTAAAAACCAATGCACAGCCATTTTTAATATCATATTTCACACTTCATTTTCTTTATATTTTCTGAGACAAAAGGGAGCCACAGCATAGCGTTACATGTATAAATATAGTTATGATTCCAATGAAAGAAAAATATGGCAACCATGTTTGGGATTCTTTCTTTGTACATCTTTCCCATAAACAGAGAATGCCATTTAGATACTGAGACCAGATGTTCAAAAAATAACCATTTTAAGCATTTATTTCCTATTGAATAAAATCTTACAATTATATATTGAAAAAATCCACCAACGAAAATAAGAAAAATAATACAACTGCACACAATATAATATAGCTAACAGCTACAACAACTGCAACTGCTAACAATATAATATAGCCAATCTCTTGGATGAAATATGGACAAATGTATTAAGTAAGGGGGGGGGGGCTGAAATTCCCCTAATATCCACTTTCTGCAAAACAAAATACGCATGTTTGTGCTATTCTAAATTAAAACAGATACTGAAAGAACAAGCAGGATCTTGGGCTGATCAAATGAACTGAATCTCAATACAGATACACTGGAGTCATGCAGCCCACATTACTTCATTATCCATCACAAAAGTGTCACATACACTTTGAAGAAGAGATAATAAAATGGAATCTTACTGTAATCCCACAAGAAGGTGCCCAACTACGCTCAACTGCCTACCACTACTCCTGGAACTTCCAGAGAGAGGAACAGTGCCACTCCAGAGGGTGGAACAGGGTGGAAACTTAGAGCATCAAAGGTGTTGTAGTTCAAAAGCACACCATTGCCATTTTCTCAGCACTGACGCACAGTTCGTCATTTATACAAACACATGCGACACAGCAGTGGGCGCCTCAGCTTGATTAATCAAGTCTGCCCCAATGCACAGAGCAGACAAATGTAGACTTAGAAAAAGAAAATATTTAAAATGAAGGGTTTAAAACAGAGAGGAAACCAAATATACAAGAAAAGGACCTTGTGCTTGACTTCAGACTAGCATGTCTAACCACCTCTTTACCACTCAACAGTGGTACAATTTTATCTTATCTAAAGACCATGGATGAGTCAACAAAATCTAATGTTAAACAGTGATAGAGCTTATTGATAAGCCTAAAAAGATCAGTACATACATTTTTTCCATAAGAAAAGATCAGCACAACTGTGATAGCTTCTACTCGCATCTAAGATGGAAAAGAATCTTGGAAATACCATGTTTCTAGATAGCTCTCAAGCTACGTTTAGCTTCAGCTCAGATTTTTTTCTCAAAAAAACTGCTTTACTGCTTAGAAGCTATACATTTCTCCAAGTTTTTAAAATGACAAGTAGAGTTTAAGTAGCAATTATTCAGAGTATTTTGTCGAACATACAAAAAAAATAAAAGGAAGTTCATATTTAATAGATCAGGCCTTGGATATGGATTAGAGGCACACTGGTTGATACATTGGTTCCATATCGGATCGGCACCGATACAGGAAAATTTGACAGCATCAGAAATCGGCTTTTTTTTGCCTGATGTGGCTGATAATGTGGCTGATAAATTACCCATGCATGCATGCAGCCTCAGCATGCACGCAGTCAGGAGCACAGCCCAGCGGCTTGGAGAGCAGCATCTGGCTATAAGTCGTGCTATAATAAGCCTGTTGTGGGGAAAGGCGGGTGGTGGAGGCAGATCAAGGCTCCTGCGGTAAGGGTGGGAGTGGGGAAGGGAAAGGCGCTGCCCAGCCAAGGCAGATCAGGGTGCGGGACAGAGCTGTGAGCAGCTTATCCGGAGGGTGCAAGGATGGGGAGTGGTGGCTCCCACCACTGTGTGCACCCCAGGAGGGTATGGGGGGGGTGTGCCCCCAGATATGCACGAGGTGGGGCAGGCTTTCACTGCGGGCTGCAGCCGGTGGCTGCGCCAGACTCTTCCTGGTGGGGGGCTGGGCAGGGCTGCATTTGGGGTGGGCAGCAGTAGCACTGGATGGGAGTTACAGGGAGCTATGGTGAATTTTGGGATTGCTGCAGCCCCCTCAGTCCCATCCCAGTGCCACTGCTGCCTGTCTTGAGTGCAGCCTGGCCCAGCCCCCTGCTGAGAAGAGCCCAAAGCAGCCCCCCGGCCTCAGCCCACAGCGACAACCTTCCCTGCCCCACATGCAGATCCGGGGGCTCAGAGAGTGACAAGCCACTTGAAGCTACATCCTATGCCCTGCCCCACTCCGGCTGGGCAGTGCCTGCCCCAGCTCCACCCCTTCCTCACCACGGGGGCCTCAATCTGCACCCCATTGCCCCTTCCCCCATACTAGACTTACCAGCCCAATGCTGCTCTCTAAGCCATCTGGCTGCATATCAGAACCGGACTGGTAACAGTCGATGTGGCTCCTTAAAAACTGGCCATCGGTAACGGCCCAAAAAATCTGTATCGGTGCACCCCTAATACAGATTGACAGTCATGGCTCTATAACTTCCTTTAATAAGCATATCTGCAGTAGAAATTATCATCCTGGAGCAGACCTACAAATAGTAAAAGCTGACTGTGTTCTACTGAAGGCACAGTGATTTACATTAATTTTTGGTAGGATATAGAAACTAAGAATTCAATTCTGCTTTTTTAAGAGAAGAAAGCAAAAAAATTAAAATCTCAAAGTCAAATCAGCAAAAAATCATAGTCACTTTAGAAGGGCAATGCTGAATGCGTTGTTTGTTTTAACAACCATATTTTGTAGGCTGACTGAGGAGCAACTTTATATTACTATTCTGCATATTAATTGAGTATGTGCCTCCTGGATGACATCTTGGTTCTACTAAAGCTAATGGGTGTTTTGTCATTAACTTCAATAGAGCTAGGATTTCACATTAAAATTGCAAGATTTATTACCAAACAAACTACAAATATTTTTTAAAACCCTATGAAGACATAATCACATCAAATTACAAAATGCATGTATTTGGTTCACCTCTGATTTTTTATGAAACTAGCTCCAAAGCTGAAGTTCAGAAGGCACCTATAAATGTTTCTGTTCATCACAGCAAATGCAACTATATTTCATTTAAATTTCTCAGATATCTTCTTATAGCTTATAGAAACCTATATATAGTATCATATTGTGAAAAAAATTATTAGATTGCTTTGCCTTGTAATTTAAGCAAACTCAACAACTGATGCAGCAGATTAGATTTAGAAAATAATAAAGCTTGGCTGGTTGGCTTGTGAAAATTAATATATATATGTTTATATTGTTAAATAAATTAAAATTCAGATTTGAAAAATGAGAGTTTAGTGTCAGGATTTGTCTCTTAATTCATATAATTTGCAAAATATGTCACCATCTCATTTGCAGTCTGCAGAGTGGGTAAGAAATAAATGTAATAAATTTTAGCAGATGATAATGGGAATTAACAATATTGTGGTGCTTGTCCAAAGTACTTCACATAACACTGCAATGCTATTATCAGCATACTGAGGACTTTTTAAAACAATGACATCAACTTGAACTAAAAAAGGGAAAAGAAACCAGAAGCGGTTATAAACCACATCACAAAATTTGCATGACATCTATGAGTACAGGGTCAAAAATGTCTTCAAATACCAAAGCAGACATGATTGTACAAACATGTAGAAGGTTCATATGGAGGAAAATAAAATGGATAAAGATCACCAGCACAGATGATAAGAAATTCATAAGTCTTTATTTTATACCTTTCTCGTTCTGGTGAATGCAAACTAGTGTCTGGTCTCAAGCAGTTGGTACTAGCACTCCTAGCCCTGTCAAGGGAGGGCTGTAGTTCACTAGTGCCAGTGCATTGCATCCAATGGTAGAAGAGAAAGAAAAAGAAAACAAAGAAAGGAATACAATGTTAGATATTAAATCATAAAATAATGTTATTTTTACACAAAATGTAGAATCACAATGATTTAATTAATAAAGATGTAAGAGAGCCAACTGGATGACAGTGTGAAGATTTGTTAAAATAAAAGAAACAAAAGATTATGCTTGAAATTATCTGCATAAGAATCTGAAGTAGTTAAGACCATAAAATGAGACTAAACAATACCTACTTATGAGAAAGTGGAACAGGAAGTACTAAAATAATACATCCAGCTTTTATTACTAGGAATAAATCTACACCAACACAAAAGGATGGGATACAGCACATTTTAGGTGAAAGCAATTTATAATGACATCAACCTGGAAAGCCACATTACATACTTAACAGGAAGGGGCATTTCTACTCAGTTTCTTACCTAATCAATGAGTCATCTGTAAATTTCGGTATTCGTGAGTTAAGGCAATCACGAAGGAGAGAAATATCCTGTCTAATCACCGATTTGGTCTTAGCATATGCAGGCAGAGTTGAGCTTTATAAATTAAAATTATTTAAAATGAAATATAAATAAAATAAAATAAAAAGAAAGTTCACACATAATCAGAATCACACACAACCACAAAACCAGAAATGAGGGTATAAGAGAACAAAACTGTAATCCTACACAACCCCAAAACTGATCTTTTAAGTAGAGTTTCAGGATAGAAGGACTTCACCAACACAAGGGCTATACATTACTTATGTACAGGTTAATTTAGATAACTATCAACATTATTTTAAGAGTATATGTTTTAGTTCAATTACTTAAGTTATATGGACAGTATCACTAATTCATTTTAAAAATTCTTTTCTTTTTTAATAATTTGAGTGACTACTTAAAGAGGACTCTAAAATACTTCTTACCTGTAAATATTCCAATGAGTACCATTCTCTAGTAAAGGCATCCTGGGTGGTAGTGTTTTATAGTGCCTAACAGAATTTCTTGAATGTGGGAGAATAGGGGCAGGGAGAACATGCCAGAAACAAAAATAAAGGGAAGATAAAATAATGTTGACTAGAATTTAAATTAAGTATAATGCATAATATTATAGCAAGATTGAATACCTATGAAGCACAGGTTTCCCAAGGTATCTCCCCTTCTTCCCTGCCTGCCCTCCCAAGTTAAATTTTAGTAATCAATACATGTAATTTCAGGATTCTACTTTTATTCATCCCAATTTAGTTAACTTACAGAATCATAATAAGTCAGAAATTCTCCCCAAATTAAAATACTTTACAGCTTTTATGATAACTTCTCAAAAATGTTGTAAAGTGTTTAGTTTGTATTTAACTTATTGTTTATTTTCCTGTGAGAACCTGCTTTACTTTAATTTACATTTTATAGTGTAATTATCTCTACTACTTAAATATACAATGAATAAAAAACTTACTAAAAAAACTTCTGCACAGAGTATCACAACTCAATTTGAGTTGTATTAGTATTAAAAACTCCAACTTATTAAAGTCCCTTAGAGGTTTCATACTAGATTCAGGGACACTTGTTAATTGAAACAATATCAATAATGGTGAGTTAGTTTAATTTAAAAGTATAATAACACCTTTATTAATCAGCATAATAGAGAATTTTTGGGTGCTACGTGACAGCTCTTTGTATTATAATCTCAACTAGAACTTGGAGAGTAGAGCACCCTAGCCAAATGAAGTTACAGGGAAAATGTATAGACAGAGAATGACTACTTAACTTACAATATGGCCCACATAAGTGTAGCTAACTTGGATTAACACCCAAATCCTGATTAACGTCTATACAATTCACAGAAGCAGGACTTTGACAAAGTTGAAAGGGGAACAGACATCCTTGCAGCCCTTCCGAGCTGCAGATACAGTCCTTCCTAAGCATCTCTTGACTCCAACTGAGATTTACAGTCGGATACACATTATAAGGCTGTACCTTGTAATTATGTTAAGGTGAATCATATCTTTGGACTTGAACACTTCATATTTTGTGGGTTTCCAATTCTGGATCTGGATTCTGCAGCTTGGACCATTTTACTTTGAAGTGACATTGGGGCACATTGGTAGCACTTTAACTGTATTTTACAAGTAGATTTTGAGGTTTTCTGTCAGGGAAATTAAGGCATCTTGATATGGTTCAAGAAGAATGACTTTCAGCCCCAGTCTGAACTTGTGTCAGAAGTTACACTTCAGTTGATCTAGCTCTAAATAAGTACCTAATCAGTCATCCAGGCTGGGGATGTGCTAGCCTATCACTCCCTAGTTTGCCACTGGCATGCCTTATCCATGCCAGTCCAATAGCTGTTTGGACTCAGGTGGACTCTCAACCAAATATATTTATCAGCAAACAAAAAGTAGTTAAATGGATATCTGTTGTAACACTTCCAAAGAACTCCATTATATTACTGCATAGCATGGAGCTCTTAAATGAACATACAGATCAAATACACTTTTAAAGCCCCATTCTGTTTTTACAGTAGCATCATTTTAAATGACTGTGTAATGTACTCAAATAAGACAGTGAGGAATTAATAACAAAAACTAGACCAAGACATAATGAAGGCAAGTGAAGTAAGATCCTAATTCAGTGCATTCCCTTTCTGACATAATAGCTCTCTCAATTTTTTTGAATTGCAATTTTTTCAGCAGACTATGGACCTGCGAAAGCATGTGGTAATGTTGTTAGACTGACACAAGGGGTCAGACAAAATCCATCAAATTATGTTAGATTTTTGAATGAAGAATTTTAAAATCTGTAACTCAGCCATTTTTACAGACCATGATACCTTGTGAAGGGAAAGCAATAAGGATAGAATCAGAAAGGAAGATGGAGCTGCAGAAGAGGGAGCTCAAAGAAGACAGGTTAGAAGAAGGAAATGAAACCACTGGGCCAGTTCAGAAGAAATTTACGTGTCAGGAAAGGGGGCTAAGAACAACAATTTCTTTAGTCACAGGACTAGATCCCTGATCCCAACAACTGCGCCTTCTGCTTTGCCACACACATGTGCATATCTTGTGTAAAAATTTTGTAGGTTATTCCCCGTTTTAGCACACCATTAATTGCTTGAACATGTAGCCAGATACTACTTAAGATGTAATTAACTGGTTAATTATGCCTTGCATGCAAAGTCTGCCAGAGGCCTAATAGTTTACACTCAATGGATTTTAATTAAATAGCTGCATTGATGCTAAGGCCGTTATTAAGTATTAATTAATTAACACTTACTAAGTTTTATGCTGTGTAACATGACTTAATTTTCCCCCTTCAATTCTCTATTATTAGACCCTCTTTTTAAAACTCCTGCTGACAAATTAGTTAAGAGCAAAATGAAACACAGTAGTTCCTCCTGGGCAGAAAAGTATAAAGGGGAAAGAAAGGGATCAGAAGAGTTGCATTGGACTAGGTCATGTTTAGGATTATTTTTCCCCCAAAATTAATTTCCAAGATAAATCTAAATAGAATGCTGACAACAATTCTTAATAATGACTTATTTTTGATAGAAAAGTTCACAGAATTTGTCTTTAATTCTTTTACCTGTACTAACTGGAAAAGATTGTTTGTTTGTTTTTAACTGAAAAAGCCGCTTATATAAAATAATTATAACTCTTATTAAAGTCCCCATAGAAAGAGGTGTAAAAGTTGTCATGCTTAATTGGCTGGAATTTCTTATAAAAATAAAACACAAACTGAAAAGGTCTCACAGCTCCCAAAATCACAAGGGAGATTTGCAAGAGATTTTTCTTTGATGACCCAAAAACTAATTTATTTTGACATGGATTATAGATCTGAATTAGCCAATTTATTTTGAGACGGAAATACAGAAATAAAGCACCATTAGACCTTTCCTGCTATACATTTATCTAATTCAATGCTTTGCAGATTCTTATATGCATGTGGAATACAATCTGAGATTAGTCTAGGAGGCTGGGCTACCTTTCTTTTACAACACTTTGCCAAATTTTCACTCTTGCCAATCTAGGGATGGTTCAGATCTGAAATCTACGTTATATGAAGCTCTTTATTTGGGGGTGTTGTTAAAGTTGGGCCCAAACTGCAGAGCTTATATCTGAATCCAACTTCTACCCACACTAGGGGAAAAATGAAAAAAATGTTGCCAACTTTTAGTTTACACTTGCCGCGTTGACACAAATACTTAACCAAGTACTAAATGACTACGCAGTAACCAGTGTTACTGTGCAGTCCCATCACCACACGCTTATTTTTAGACGCTACTGAGCAGTAACGTAGCAGTCACAATTCATGCCTGGTGATGCTATGGTGCCATAGCAACGAGCGTCGCCACTGCGCTGTAGCATCTCGTGTAGATGTGCCCACTGTTACTTATTTGTGTGAAGCCAGTGAAGGTCTTCTGAAAGTGGTCCTTTGCTGCTTGTGCGTGCGTGCGTGCATGCGTGCATGTGTAAGATGTACAATGAGTTTTGTGATTTAACTTAAATATTTTTCTGACCCAGTTGGTCACTGTGGCCACAAATATTTCTTATCCCAGGGACAGTAGAAAGCAAGTAAAACAGACTATCAAAATATTTTAACTAGGCCTGTGCAAATAGGGAAGTATTCGATTTGGATTTGGCTGATTCAGAGGACAGTGATTTGATTCAGAGATTTGGATCACTGTCCTGAATTGATTCAGCTGAATCAGCTTCAGAAGATTTGGCACTGATTCAGAGAGATTCGTATCAGCTGGAAAGAGGCAGGCACAGCCAAGCAGCTGCAGGTTCTCCTGTGGTTCCTCTACTTGTGCCTGCCTCTCCCTGGGCAGGGGAAGCTGTGGGAGAAAGAAGCCCCCATGGCTACCCTGCCTGGCCCCAGCCTAGTCCCAGCACTTAAAAAAAAAAAAAAAAACCTAAATAAAAATAATAGCCACGCACTCACTGGCTGCAGCAGCAGCAATTTGGGCCTCTGGGCACTCATGGCACAGCCCCCCCCATGCAGCATGGGGCAGTGTGGGGCAGCAGGGATTGCTCCCCAACCCCAGCCTGGCACCCATGCGGCATCTGTCTCACAGCATGGGTGCAGCGCAGCTCAGCAGGGCGCTATGCACTGCCTTGGAGCTGGGGCCACTGGGACTGAGTGCTGCTGGTCTCTGGCTGACACGTGGAGCTGCCCCAGCTCCCAGGCAAATCAAACCAGGGGCTGGGGAATAAAACTGGGGGCTGAGGAATCGAGCTGGGGGAATGCTCAGGTCTCTGAACATTCCCCCAGTTCCCAGTTCGATTCCCCAGCTCCCCGATCTTTCCCCCAGCTCTTCCCGAGGAGTGTGGGCCCCCAGGTGATGTGGGATGACAGCAGGCTGCTGCTGCTAGCTGGTGATGGTGGTGGCTCTGGGCTATTTCCCCAGCTGGCAGCAGCAGCCTATTGAAACCTAGTGCACAGATCTGAGGGCTATGCTCCCGGGAAGAGCTGAGGGAATAACCAGAGAGCTGGGGAATCTAATCAGGAGCTCCGGCTGACAGATGGGGCCGCCCCACCTCTGGGGCAGTATGCAGCGCCCCGCTGAGCTGTGCTGCACCCACGCTATGGGGCAGCTGCTGCATGGGGGCTCTGTCACAAGCGCCCAGAGGCCCCAATCGCCACTCTGCAGCCAGTGAGTGCAGGGCTTTTTTTTTAAGTGCTGGGAGGCTGGGCAGGAAGGGAATGGGGCTGGGAAGTGCAGCCACAGGGGCTTGTCCTGCAGCTCCTCTGGCTGTACCGGCCAGTGTCCTGGTGGGGGGAGCCACAGGGGCTGTGCCCTACTGCGGGCTTCCCCAGCTGGTGCGGGGGGGATGATGCAGGCTTGGCTTGCTCTGGGTGGCAGCAGGGCATAGCCCCCACTCCCAGAACTGCTGTGCCTGCATTAGCACTGGGAATGGGGGCTCTACCCTGCTGCCACTTGCCAGCTGGCGCGGGGGGTGTGGGATGCAGACACAGCAGTGCTGAAAGCAGGGGCTATGCCCTGCTGCCACTTGCCCCCTTCCGGCTTGGGTGAGCCGCACGCGCATCCCACCCCTCCCACCCCAGCTGGGCAAGGGGCAGTAAGGCAGAGCCCCCACTCCCAGCGCTGCCGTGCCTGCATCCTGTGCCCCACATCCTCCTCCTCGAGTAATGTGCCCCACCCGCCCCAGCTGGGCAGCTTGTCCCAGCTCCAGCCCTAGCCCCAATCCCTCCCTCCTCCATGCCCCTTCCCTTCCTCCCTCCCCCAACCCCAAAAACCTTACCAGCTGGAGACAGCTGGCAGCTGCCTGTTTAGTCTATGGCCGAAACTCTGAATCAGCCAAATCTTTTTCCGAAGCTTTTCTGAATCAATCTGGATGCTTCGAATTGACTCAAAGCTTTTACTTGGTCTCCTGATTCAATTCAGAGTCAGAAATTAAGTCCCCAAATCAGGCCAAATCTCCTCCGAATCGAATCGCCTACCAAAGCTTCACACAGCCCTAATTTTAACCTTCTTAGGTTAGGACTTATATGATTAGAGAGTAAAATGGATCGTCTGCTAAATGGCAGCAAGTCATTCTTTATTAGTCTTCTTCAGAATAAACTCAATATTCCAATGGAAAATGTGAAGAGAAATTTCAGGAATTTCTAACTTGTGTATTTTGTATAATTTGTCCGTGTACTCTGATCACTTTAGTGTGGCTTAACAGGACTATATTTTCTGATTACAGGTTTTTTTCATCTCCAAATGGGAATTCAAGAAGATACAAAAACTAAAGATTTCACTTCCTGAAGGGAGAAAAAAATGGTTCATTAAGCATTACAAATTAATTATATATTTTAGGCATTGATCCTGTACTTATACACTGGACTTTAAGACCAGGGAGTTTCACTGCCTGGAGGGTTGGTCCAAATTCTGTTTTCACCTCCTCCTTTCAAACAGATTTAATATGGGGTCCAGGTGCACCTGTTCTTATGTCCCTTCTTTTTGAAAAATGGGTACTTCAGCACAAATAAAATTTGATATGTTTCAAATCTCTATATTGAAGTCTCTGGGTTTGGGAATAGTTGTGGCAAGGCCCAGAATGCTCAGATTCCAAATCAACATTCAAACCTTAAGGTGAGCAGTTGTTAGACTTGCCAAGTGAAGTAATAATGTGTCATCCTCATTCATTTAGTCATATGCTCTGAAAAATTATAATCAAGTTTGTTGAAAAACACCCAAACTAATGTTAATATTATATACGTAATAATAACAAGAAAAAAATTAAAAACAACAAAAAAAAAAAAATATAATACTACAATAAGTCTGCCATGCATTGGAAGATCAGGTCTTTTATGACTAGACAGGTAATCCAGCACATAACTATATGCTGCTAAATTGTTTGGATTATTTAAATACAGATGTAACTGTAGACACTTCAATACTTTCATCTGCTTTGATTCTAGTGACCAAATTTAATGTGTCCAAATCTTGGTCAGGTTTTAAAAAGTGAATATATGATCAACAGATTAACATGTCTGGAAATATTATCTTTTACCTACTTGAACATGAATACAACTGAAGGAAACAAATGGGCTTTAAAGTACATAGATATTGACCATATGTGCTCATTATCAAATTCCCATTTACCTGGTGGTATGTAGGCACTCTGCACTTCTTCCTCGTTTTGCTCTGGGCAGCATAAGAAGCTCACTGCACAGACAGGATGGATGGTGAGTGAAACAGATATATAAATGAAGCATTAGATGATATGAGTTATGCCGATGATATGCAAATGAAAACATAAAAAGGAAACTAGAAACTGGCACTGAGATTGTTAGCTCAATAGTGTTCAAACCAAGGCAAATTACAGAATTTCTCAAAAATGTGAGCAAGAGAGTATCTATGAAAGCTAATTCTTTTTAAAAGAAAAAAAAATGCGAGTTACTTAAGGGCTTTCAATGGTAAAAGATTGCCAGGATCCTTTATCATCTGACATTGTATTGTAATAGCAATTTACTGTTTCTTCTAGCTGATATTTATTAAAACACTAAAATATATTCATGAAAAGGGAATGACACAACACCCATTTTTTGAACACAGTAAAGTGTATGTAGAGGGAAAAGAGGGAAAACTGATTTATTTTCATGCTTTGCTATATCCAGTGAAATAAGGAGCTCCTCATTCTTTTGGGGAAAAAGAAACCTGTTCACTTTGACATTTGTTCTCATGCTGGTTTTGATCAAAGCTTGTTCATAATATGTCCTCCAAAGAAATGCATTAGAGGTGCACCAATATATCAGTTGCATGTCAGATTGGCACTGATAAAAGGGAAACTTACATTATCAGCCATCAGCTTTTTTTGGTTGGTGTAGCCAATAATGTTCAGAGATAAATATAATTAATTATGGCACTGGGGCCCCCGGATGCCACGTGCATGTGTGTGGCCACATGCATGCATGTTGCTAGGAATACAGCTGGGCAGCATGGAGAGCAGTTCCCTGCACGTAAGTCTGTGGAGGGGAAGAGGTGTGGGGGAGGGAAGGGGCATGGGGGGCAGATTGAGGCCCCCACAATGAGGGATGGAGTGGGCCAGGGGCATAGGTAGGGGGTGCTACCCATCCAGGGCAGTGAATGGGACCCAGAGCCAGGGCATAGAGTGGGACGGAGCTGTAGAAGACTCATCCAGGTAGTATGGGGTCGGGGGGTGGCTCCCCACCACTGCGTGCACCCTCTAGGGGAGGCATGGTGGGGCATGAGCCCCCCCCCCCCCGATTTGTGCATGGGGCAGATGTGGGCTGCTCGCTGTGGGCTCAGGGCTCTCTACCCTGCTGCCTTTGCCCCATGAGCCCTGTACTGGTCACTCACTCCTTAACAACCAAGCAGTATTGGGGGTGGTGAGTTGTGCCCCTGACTGCTGGAAAGGCAATGTGTGCACAGCCAGTGCAGGGCTTCTGGGGCAAAGGCAGCACAGCAGAGAGCCCCAAGCCTGCAGCAAGCAGCCCACATCTGGCCTTGCCTTGCTCAGCTCTGCTCCAGTTAAAAGCATCCTCATCCTTAAAAATGGTGGCGGCAGCACTTGAACTTAAAAGCTCATTGAGCTTTAGTTCAAGTACCTCTGCTGTCATTTTTAAGTGCTGGGACACCGATCTCCTGGACGAACTGCCCACAGCTCCATCCCACTCCCTGCCTCAGCCCCAGGTCCCATTCAGCACCCTGGCTGGTCAGCGCCCCCAGCCCCAGTCCCTGACCCTGCAACACTCCCTCCCTCACTATGGAGGCCTCAATCTGTCACCCCCACACCCCTTCCCTCCCTCATGCCCCTTCCCCTCCACAGACTTACCTGTAGGGAGCTGCTCTCCACACTGCCCAGCTGCATTCCTGTAAATCGGTTATTGGATCAGTATCGACCAATATGACTGGTTAATAATCGGCAATCAATATCAGTCAAGAAAATCTTTATCGGTGCACCTCTAAAATACATTTTCGCTACTTGAAAAAAATACCTTCCTTTCTAACCATTTCTGTCTTATAGTCCAGACATCTATTCCGTTATTGCAAACAATTATATGTTACAAAAGCCATGTGTAACAGCTAACAAAATAGCCACCGTAAATTGTTACACATTTCTGTTTCTGGCAAACATACCTGTGATAAAAGCATGTCAGCTAGCTTATTCTTGATAGTGTATACACTACAACACAAGTCACAAAGACAGATCCCAAAAAGTCCCTTACTATTACAGATCCAAAGTAAGGCTAAATTTCATGAAGATGTGGCATTTAAAAAGAATCAACAAATCATATGAAGTACCATGTAACAGAGAGAAAAAAGATTTTAAAATTACGCAAAGTGGTAAAATGTTCTATTTTTTTCATGCTTCATACCATCATGAAATGACAAATTTCACTATAGAAACTGACATGTCAGTAATTCCCAAACTGTGCTTCACAAACTATGAACAGTGTACATATCTGGTCTGCAGAATGCACCCCTTCCCGCCCCCAATTTTACATTGGATAAGAAATGTGCCTCATGAGAAATTCTGAATGTTAACAGTGGTAGATTGGTTCAAAAATCTTGGGAATGACTATCAACAATAATATTTATGTAATATTATAAACTGGGGAAATTCAAACTCTTCGTGTAATCCACATGCAAGATTAATTTTTGTGTTTGGAACTTCAGGCCTGATTTTGATGCAACAAAATATTTTAAAGGTGAACTGAACTGTTTTTATTAAAATAGGGAAATAATAGAATTATTTATTATTTCAGATTAAAACAATTTTGTATTTTGGTGCAGATTTCCAAACTGTCAATAAATACAAAATACTTTCTTCTTTCTCCCATAAGCATCACAGCTTGCACTTCTTTTGCAGGAGTTGAACTCATTACCAGTCACCAAAGTGCAATAAACAAACAGTTCCATCTACTGCTTAGTTATTGGAAACAAGCAGTTACACCAGAAGGACTAGAACCATAAGAACCACACTCATAAGATCCTTGGTTAATATTTACAGGAGATGGCCATTTCATATAGTGAAATAAAATAAAAATATAAATAGGAAATAAAATTATGTTTTCTCAAATTTAAAAGCAGCTAAAGGTAGACTGCTGATATCCTTTTAGAGTACTGATAGTACATAAATTTTGAAACATTTACAGAAAAGGCTGTCTCTAAAAAAACATTTTTGAAGGAGACAGAAGATAACAATTAAATCCTGATACAACCACATTTTATTTAGAAACAAATCCGTTGAATAAAATATCTCAATTAAAATAAGATGATGATTCCCAAACTCTAATTTCTTCCATATTTTTACATGAAAAAGAACAGAAAAATTAGGTCATTGGGAAACCTGTCACAATATCTTTCAGATGAATCTTTCAGTAGGCATGTCACTATAAGGCCAGGGTATGTAGCTTTCTAAAACTGCAAAGGATTGTCTGCAGTTGTCTCCTTCATAACACTTTAAAAGCAATATCCAAGATTGTTAAATAAAGATAAAGGGTGTTATTCAGAAGGCATGTTTAATATTTATTTAGCTGGACTAGTGAACTTGTAACCAAACAATCAGATACAACCAATAACTAGAATTTATTGCATAGGGATAGTGGAAAATTCAAATGGAACATCCATACCCTTCTCGAGGAGTTATATAGACTGATACTAGCAGGTATATGATTTACACAAGGGATTCATGACAACATATCTGAAGATGACATCAAGTAAAGGCTAATGTCAAAAGCCTTAATCTTTGGCAGCAAGTACAAAAGGCTCAAGCCAGAGACACTCCTATTATTCACTAATAAGTATGCAGGATTTTATACTAGATACCCCTGCACAAAAGGAGCCAGTGGGTGCTGTATTGTGCTTCCTGACCTAAAGGTGTTTATAGTTCTGAGGAGAAATTAGATGTTTGCACCTGCAACTCTGAAGAAGATGCTCCTAGCAGCAGCACAGGAACCATTCAGGATAAGAAACTTATACCTACCAGATGTTACATTTATCCTGCACAAAAGCCACCTTCTAAAAGCAGAAGGCAGAAAACTGAAAACTTTTGATTATTTCAGTCCTAGCATAGATCTGTAGTCTGAGCTCTACTCTAGTTATTTTCACTCCAGAAAAATTAAAGTGCTACTGGCCCCCACACCAAGCCCTTCCATGCAAACAGAAAGACAGAAAATACAAGTATAATTAAAAATTATAGTGAACGTTTACATAAATTATTTTTGGTTTGGATCATGGGATAATTTTATTTATGGTTAATTGTCTAAATTAGTATCTAGTGAAAAGAAACACTTTTAAAGTCCATTCTTTTCCACCATACTTTCTAAGGAAAATGTTCACTAAAAATATTTTGAATTCTTTTTGATGACAACCAGACAATAAAGAATAAATTGAATTATAGGCACACAGTAGAAAATACTGTAATTCTTAACTGTAAGTCTCATTTTATTATATTTTAAAAGCATTTCAATTCACCTCTAAGAAACAAAATGAATGGTATAATCCAACTCATACAATTCTGTATATATTTCTTGCCTATATGAATTTTGCAGTTGGAAAACAACTTGGGAATTTAAAACCATTGACTGTAACTTGTTAAGCTCTACATGAAAGCTCTTTCATTCAAAAACAAAAAAGGCAAGATCATATACAAAACTGAATTTGAAGAGCTGCAAAAGCCATTTGTTATTAACTTACCATGTTGCTTCAAAACTGGACAATATGTTCCAGAATTTTTTTTGTTTTATTCCTGTCACACATGCCTTCAGACTAAATTGTCCTGAATTTACTAGGAGCAACTGCAAGACTGTAGAAGCTCTGATTATGATGTTTTCCAAGCAAGCAATGAGTTGCTCTCAAATATGGACAGTCCATACTGGAATCCAGTAATGAACAAAAGTGATGATTTATGCTTTCCTCCTTTTCTCTTATTCTCTTTTCCTCCATGATTTATGCTTTCCTCCTTTTCTCTTATTCTACCCTATAAAAATTGTTTTCATTATCCATACAGAATAGAAAAGGTATCTACCAATGCACAATTGGAGTTCTTTGAAATGCGCTGACTCTATGTGTACCCCATTAAACGTATGCATGCCCAGTGTACCTCAGATGAGATCTTTTTATTACCATTGTCTATTCACTGTATTTATTCTTGTGCACTTTCTAAAGTGTGTAAGTGGTAAGGGAGGACTAAGCCCAAGTATTTTCATGCAGGAATCTAAAGCAGATGGAGAAAAGCCAGTAATGGAATGTGCACATGGGTAACATATCTCAAAGAACTCCATTTGTGTTGTCTGTAATTCTTTTTCCTTCTTTGAGTGCCTGTCCCTAGGTGTATTACACTGTGTATGACTCATGAGAGGTGGTTGCCATATTGCATAACTCATTGCAGTACTATCTTTTCACATCTTCAAAGCAGTTACCTGCACTAATGGTACAGCATTGGAATCATCCCCATTGTGCTGCCCTGAATCTCAGTGACAGAAATGTTTTTAAAGGAGGCCATGGAAACTTTTATGGACTCTAATTCAGGGGTTCTCAACCTTTTTATGTTGTAGACCAGGAAACCGTGGACCGGAAGTGACTGCAGACCAGCAAACTGCAAACCAGCAGTGACCATGCTGCGGGCAGGTAGCCAACCCTTTTTTATACTTAATATAAAAAAGGGTTGGCTGCCGGCCCACAGTATGCCGGTCACTTCCAATCTGCAGTTTACCGGTCAGTAGTTTGCCGATCCAGTCACTTCTGGTCCAGCAGCCAGCCCTCCTGTGGCCCGGCACTGAGCCGCAGCCCAGGGGTTGGTAACCCCTGCTCTAGTTGACCATGCTAGAATATTTTCATGTGTTAATGTTTTAGTGAGGTCATAAAATAGAGCACAGCCACATATCTACCTTAAGTGTGCTTGACTGAACTGCATCAGCTCTCAGTATATTAGCAAAAGAAACCATCTGAGCATTTCAGTTCTATGAAAATAAAAGGCTGACAACTTTCTAATATGTAGGGGAACATTACCTTGCCTTGATGATATAAAAGTGTCAGCCATGACTGTCAAGTGCTTTGAAAATATTTTTGGTACTACTGAAAGTCTGGCTGGCTGGCATTCTTTGTTGGTACCAGTTGTGGTAAACAAATTTGAAAAAAATTGTTTGCTGCATGAATATCTATGTGAAAAATGTTATTTTCATATTGAGAGCTGGAAACTAATTTCCCTGATATACTGAAGGGCCTGTAAAGTGACCATTGTAAATCTCAGGTGGCTAATGTTTAAATTCCTGAGATCCAGCATGAACCTGTCATTTGTTTTTTTTTCTTTGAGACCAGGACTTTCTTGGAGTAAAAACCTTCCCCTACAAATTACAACATAAGGATTCTCTGACATCAAGATGGAGATGAGAGGCCACTCCTACTTTGATATGAGTAACGTTTCATAGCAAAGGTGCCTGAAACAGGAGCCTTGAAAACAAGTAATGTTTGGAGCTGGATTGAGTATCTGGTAGTTTCCAGAACCCATATTTTCAGAGTTGTTATCTTTCAGGTTCTTCAAAACGGAGAGAAGCACCCTCCATATAAGTGGAAGAATGAGAAAGGGCAGCTAATTAAAAGACCATGGGTACACAGCTCTTCAGGGTCTTATCAAAATATAAGTGTAGCAGGTAATGGCACAGAAAAGTTTAGCATGTGACAGAGTACAAAGGAACAATAAATCTTCTCCTTTGAACATAGTGGCACTTTCATAGTGGTTCTTAAAATCACTGCATGTGTGTGGGAATCTGAGAATGGCAAAAGCTGCACACCGAAAAGCCTCCACACAATATTTTTTCATGTGGTACATGCAACATGGAAAAAAGTAGGTGGGTTATTGCTTTCAGTGCAGTGCTGCTTAGCCCAGTGCAGTACAAGGGTGCACTGTCTTTCCTGTCTGACAAAAGTGCCAGAAAGGACCAGGTCCTGCCCCACCTCTTATGCCCATAGAATGGTAAAAAAGGACACTGTAAGTACTTGCACAGATCAGACTGGCACTGTTAGCAAAAAACCTCCAGTTTTGGGTACATACAGTGCATGCACACCAACAACAGAATATACACAGGGGCAGGTACCTGAAAAAAGAACCATTCTTTAAGCCAATAATCAATACTGATATAAGCATCTTCTCTCTTAATGTGCATCTTGGTTTAATATAGTCACAAAATCATGATTGTTCTTCACCATGGTGATTGTTACTTTGCTTTTCTCTTTTAACACAAATCTACACTTTATTCAAACACTATCCAAAAATACAAAGGCACTTCTAAATTTGCTCATAAGTTTAAGTTGAAAACTGTACCTTTCTTGATCCGACAAATACTGACTATCCATGTCTCTGGACCTGCGATCAACTGGACTTCGGGAGGCATCATGGTGTCTAGTTGGAGAACGTGATCTTCTCATTTGATGAATTTCATCTAAACTCCTAAAAATATTTACAAAGTTGTATGAATATGATAATTTTCTTCTCCCTTACTTAGCAGGTTATAGTACAATACAGTACAAGTTTATGAAAGGAAAATGTCATATCAGTAAACTGTTAAAATGCTAAAACTAGATACATTTCCTTCACTTAGCATGGATGGTAGTTATTTTTTGCCCATTTTAGAATTCTATTCTATTTTTCTTTTGTTGTGCACACACTGATAATAGATATTATGCTCCTATATTTAGAGACTAGTTTGAAAGAATAAAAGAAAATATTTTTTAAGATTATGGTTCTGTATATGGATTTACAGATTTATATCTGGGTTTTCTAAGTCAAAATCTTAGGCTGTGTACATGAGGAAGAAATTCCTTACACCAGGAGAAGGTATTTATGGCTGCCTATCCATGTGCTAGGGGAGTGGGAAGGGGCATCTTAATTATAGCGGGTCCCAGACAGCCACTCTAATTAAAATGACACTCCATCTTGTGTCTTCAGCCCCGGAGCATTTCAAAATGGCCATAGGATGCTTTATCTAAAGCTCATTCAATGAGATTTAGATAAAGCACCCCTGCGGCCAGTTTCAAATGAGCAGTGGCTTAATACACTTGGCAGTGGGGCAACACTGGAGCATTCTAATTAGAACGTGAACATGCACGTCTATAAGCAGCCTATAACCAGCCTGTGGCAAGGACTGGGTTGAGATGTAGAAATGTGCAGATACTAAGTATTCTCCCCAAAGGATGTGGCACTTCAATGGAAGGGGTATCTCAAGCAGTGTCTTTGTAGTCTGCCATGTACAAGTTCCCTTCCTATTATGACACTCCCACTAGAGTGCATCAGAGAAAACAGCACTGATTATTTGAGTGGATCATCCACCTTTGATGCAAGAACTGCCAACGGCAAAGGAAGTTTAAAGCTACAACTGTCTGTGCCATTGGGGTGAATCATTCACTGATTCTTAGTGATTGTGTTTTTTGTGTGCTGCACTGACAGATATTGCTCTTTTTCCCACAGCACATATTTGTTTTAAAAAGGTACTTAAGAATTTCCCAATGTTTGGCTATTTTAAAAATGTGGCATAAGCCTGGCCAAGCCAGTAAAAGCAGGTTACTCTGCCATTAGGTCATTTGGGTTGGCTGGAGAATCTGCTGCCATTCCCAAGGAAATCATCCTGGGAACAGTTCTGAGATAACTCACTTTTACCCATCTATGGTCTCAGATATGGTTTCTGCAATACACAACTTGTCTACACTAGAAAACAGAACCTGTGTTACAGAGATTGCCAGTATCAGTATTTATCTTTGTATATATATCAAATAGGGTTTAGGGATTCTTTCACACCATATGAAAATGCATGAGCTCTGTTCATACTAGTAATACCCAAATGCATGTGTAGTGTTACTAGCTGTTGCTGTAAAGTTGTAATGCAGGCTTTAAGATTCTAGTATTACCACATGCAGAGGATAAAGAATTGTAATCTGTTATGGGTTTGTCATGGCTCCATTTCAAAATAAGTTCAGAGGGCCCCTGTACTTCCCTTATACAAAGGAACAAACTAAGTGGGTAAAGTTCTACCAATGTTCATATCATATCTGAAGATATAAAAATCTGAATACCAGGAAGGAAAAGGTGAAATAAGATCCTCCTATTCTTTATGTGTTCTTCTGCTAGAAAACATCATACTTGGCTTTCTAAACGTCTATATGCTATCACCGTTCTCTGAAATACATTTTTATGGAATAGCCTTTGATAGAATATTTTTAGATAAAACAGTAAAACATATCATATTAAAAGGTGTCTTTTTTAGAATATAATTTTTAGAAATTGGCAACTTCACATTACTTTTTATTTGCAGAATCAGTTCATTAACAGGCCACCTCTGCAGGTAAAGGAGAAATTGGATCAAATGTATGATCCACACAATCACACCTTCTGCCAGGCCACATGTGCATGGCAGGAGGTGCAATTGTGATATTGTGAATTAGATCCAATAGCGCCTTTTTGCTGGTGTGGAAGGAGCCTAATCCTGGGCTCCCCCAGCATGGGCAAGAAGCAGGCTCTCACAGATGGGAGATCCCTTTGCTGAGAGGGCTCCCAGCCACAAGGGTCACATGCAGCCTGGACTGAGAGTCCCCGCACCTGACAAGGCTCCGGGTCCAGTTTGCACATGAGGGGGAGCCAGGACCAAAAGCCCTGTTTCATTCACCCCTGTGCCTTGAAGAAAATGGAAGCTACAATCCCCAGTGACTGGGAGCCTGTCGATGTATGACAGTGTATGATAGCCAGAAGATGGGGCAGAGAGTACAGGCAAGGAAGCAAAGCAGAGCAGCAGATTTGATAGGAAGCATAAGGCAGAAAGCAGAACAACAGATCAGGCAGGGTACAGACACTGGAGTGCCATTCAGGGAGGGTGTGGGACTAATTTGTGGAATGCCTGCCAAGACCTCTACTAGCATATAACATTGCTTATTATTATTTGACAGCACCTCAAAGTATGTTCAGAAAATATATTTATTGCCTGGAAGAGCTTCCATTCTAAATGATATAAACAATACAGTGAATAAATTGACAAACAGCAGGAAAATATCAGGTAAAGAAAAAAAGAAGAATACAGCTTTTCAGAGAGGAATGAGGACAAGGTTGAGGCTTCAAAGTGCTTACACTCTGCAATTTGGTACATATATTTTAAATAATTTACTGTAAAAATGAAAAAAAAATGCTCATCAAAATTAAAGTGCCAGGGACTGGTTACACAAACTTCATCCCATAAAACTTTTCAATAACTAATGTTGCTCAGCTGTGAAGCCTACCTCTGTAATGGCACATTTGGTAAACGTGAACGGGTCCTGCCCTGATCGTCGCCACGGTGAGGAGATACAGATCGTGAACGATGATGTGTTGTCCTTTGCTGTTCTGGCACAGTTAGTGTTGTTGATTTACTTTCTCTAGTACTAGACCTATAACCTACTGGTAAAAGTGCAACAAGAAGAAGTTAGAGGGCATGATTCCATATCTGCAAACAACTGAGATAGTCTTTTCAAGGAAAGCACTTCTAAGGGATTCCAAGATTTAAGTCAAGCTAATTATTTAGGTACTATCAATCCTGATATGTCATGCAGCCAGGATTAATTAAAAGCATTACCTTTAAATGTAATGTGTACATATGCACAGAGGCAAATAAATTGAAAGGAGTTTGGGGACATGCTGGGAGTTGCCTGGGGAAAATAAGGTTGAATAAGTCACTTGGCACAGAGAATAGTTTCAGAAATCTAACACATTTCATAAGTCATTCCAATTCAGTTTTTTACACTCTAAATCTCACCTCTACTTGGTGATAGTTCTATGAAGCCTAGGCAGAGAGGCACAAGCAATTTCTGTGCCCTGGGCAGCAGACATCATTCTTCTACCTGTTCATTGGGTTAGTGCCCCACTTGCCCACTCCTAGTTAAACTATTGAGTTTAAGCCACTTAGGTTCAATTTCTTCTAAGCTACCTGCCTACCATGAGTGGAAGAAGGTGCCTACCAAAAAAGACCTGAACCAGCACCCCTCAGTTAGAAAGCTGCCTTCCCAAGCCGTCTTCAGCTGAGTACAAAGATGTGCTCTTAATGAACTTAGCCAGAGCTGCCTTCATGCAAAGATCACAGAAGATTTGACAACAATATGCAGAGTAGCTTCACGGTGTATAGAGTATAATAATTTTCCTTTCAATATTATGAGGGAACAAGTATTTTGACAAGGAAATTTTAAAATTATTTAGGATTCAAAATGATCAGCAGAGCATTTGTCCACTTATATACTTTTCTTACATTTATAAATAAAATCTTTAAGTAACAGTTTCTTGTGTGTCCAGAATTGTCTGTTCCAAGACAGGTTCAGTATATATTTTTTTAATTCTTCCTCACTATTTATATCATGGCAGTATCACTATGCCCCCAACACAGGACCGAGGACATGCTGTGCTATGCAATATAAAAAGCAAAAGAGCATAAGAGTCTCAGCCCAAATAGGCTGGAGTCTCATGTGACAACTAAAGATATGGCAGCCACCTTGAGGAATTCCAGGTGCAGTTTAAGATCATTGGAAAATAGTTACCTAACACAAGGAAACATCTAAATTTCCACTTTAGCTAAACAGTAGAAAGAGTTGGTTTTTAACTCTTATCTTAAAGTGTTATTTGTCATTTTAAAACTCATCACAAGTACAGGATTCTGTTAAGGATATGGCATCAGCTTGTTAATATACTAAAATATTTTTAGGTTCACATTTATTGATTTTCAAAATTCTTGAAAAGTAAGTTGACATTTTATAACGAATTTTTATACATTATTCTTATTATTTTTTTCTCTATTTTTGGGACACTTTTTCTATCACAACAAGCAGCATGAGAAATGTAAATCTCACCAGAACTTTACATAACACTTTTCATTCCATATATTTAACATTGCTAGGCAGCTATACTCCAAATACAATGAAATGCCAAGTACCCTGCCTTCCCCGTGTCTCCTGACCTTTTTGATTTTATCTTTTGGCCTAGGATATTCCTTCCATCAACCTTTGATACTATGCTGGAATATTTAAGCGCAAAATCGAAGACTACCCATTTAATTGCTTCATAGATTCATTGATTTAAAATTCAAGATGGACCATAGATCATCTGGCATAACTTGAGGTTATACATCAGGTCACCGAGTTTCACACAATAATTCTTGGATCAAGCTCATACACTCTGATTTAGCGATAGTATATCTTTTGGCAAAACATCTAGATTTTGATTTAAAACCAAATTAGAGGGTCATAAAAAGGGGCTAGAAAGGACTTATTTAGTCTAACACCTGATCATAATAGGAACATTTCTGTCTAAACCATCCCAGAAGAATGTACATCTAACCCTGCCCTTAAAAATGTCCAGTGGTGGAGATTCCACCGTCTCTTTAGGTAATTTGTTCCAGCAATTAGCCACTCTGACAGCTGGAACATTCTTTGGAGTATCTAACCTAAATCGTCCTTGTTGCAATTTAAGCCTATTAATTCTTCTCCTGTCCCTTATGGACACACAGAACACTTGATCACCATCCACATTATAACAACCTCTTTTTGAATTTAAAAACCATCATTAAATCCCTTCTTAGTCTTCTGTTCTCTAGACTAAATAATTCTAGTTCTTCAATTTTTCTTCACAGGTCACATTTTCTGGAGCTTTAATAATTTGTGTTGGTTTCCTTTCGACTCTTCAAGTATTCCATGTTTTTTTGAAGTATGATGACCAAAACTGGGAACAGTATTCCAATACTGAGGCCTCATGGGCACTGAATAATGTAGGAGAATCACTTCCTGTGATCAGTGGTGTACAAAACTGCTCTTAGCTTGTTTTGCAGCAGTTACATTGTTGACTCATTCAACCTGTGGTCCACTAATCCCCTGAATCCTTTTCTGCAGTATTGCAGCCTACCAGTTGTTCCTCATTATGTATCAGTGCATTTTATTGTGCCCTCCTAAGCACCTGTCTTTATTACATTTCATCTTATTTCAGAACATTTCTCTAATTTATCAAGGTTATTTTAAACTCTAATGCTGTCATCCAAAATGTGTGCTACTCCATTCAGCTAGGCATTCTCCTATGCAAATCTAATATGCAAACACTCAATTCATCATGCAAAATCATTTAGGAAGATATTAAACAGTTCAGGACCTGGGACAGACACCTGGGGAACTTCCCTTGATACCTCTTCCCAGTTAAGACATTGAGCCACCAATGACTACCTATCTGTAAATACACCCATCTAGACCATATTTGCTTAGTTTACATATGACAATTTCACAGGAGACAGCGTTAAAAGTATTACTAAAGTTGAAGTACTTCATATCTACTGCTTTTCCCTCTCCCATAAACTCTACCTTGCCATCACAGAAATAAATCAGGTGGGTTAGGCATGCCTTGCCCTTGACACATCTGTGAGGACTGTTCTTTATTACCTTCTTATTTTCTACTTACATAGAAGATTCTTAATTATATGCTCCGGTATGATTCAAGTTAGATTGGCTTATCTCTAATTCTCTATGTCCTCCTTGTCTTTTTCCAGTCATCTGGGATCTTACAAACTTACACAAATTCAAACAGATAACAGACAATGGTTCTGTAATTATTTTATCTAATTCCTTATGTGTTCTCAGATGATTATCATTCAACCACATTTTTTGACAATGTACCGGTTGCCTAGGCCAGTGGGAGCCAAATTTTTGGATGGCATGCCGCAGACTAACCCAACCCTCACCCTTAGTGCTAATCACTTTCTACTGCCTGATATGTGGTTCTGCTTTCTGGTTCCTACCTTGTACTCCCCCACCCCGCTGAGCCCCCTGATCTGCTGGTCAACCTTCTTATCCTGTTTTGCCCTATCTGACACTGTACTGCCTGTCCCCTTGCCAATCTGCCACGTGCCACAAACAGAGGCTGTCCCTGCCACCAGTGGCACCCATGCTACAGTTTGGTCATCCCTGGCCTAGGCAATTACTAACTGGTTCTTTCACTATTCTAAGCTTGCTGCTAAACTCTGCCTGCCATTTGATATTTAACGTTTTTCTGAAGGCTGCATTTAAAAAAAAAACGATTAAATGGTTGGCTTTCTTTATCCATCATTCTCCGTATTCAGTAAGGGACTGACACTCTCCTTTATTTTCTCCTTTCTATAAACCTATTTATAGAATGCTTTGTTTGCTGCCCTTGCAATCTGTATCTTAAATTGTACTTTTGTCTTCCTGTTTTGTTCCTACATGCCTGTATTATATACTTAGGGCTTAGACAGACATTATTTTTGGCACACTAGGGGTACTGTGGAATTTTGTTGTGCTACAAGAACGAAGTGCAACATGTATGGCCACACATGCACAGACCCATGGCTGGAGCATGGCACAGTTGCCACAAAAGCACTTTGTGCTTTTATTTTCCCCACCCCAAAGAAGCCTTTTACTGAAGGAGATAGGCTCACTGACAGGCAACAGGCGATGAGGCTGTATGCCTAGTTAAATGTGCTAAATTAAAGAGCCAACTACTTCCAGAAACTTTATACCAGTCAGGTAGTTACAAACCATGATTAAGTCATCTCCTTCACTTTCTTTTGGATAAGTTTAATAGACTGAACTTGGTAAGTCTCATGGCAAAGGAGGGTGTCCAGATATGTATTCATTCTTGTAGTTCATTTATAAGCACATTCCAAATTGTTATCAACCTTTTAAAAAGAAATGAACAACTCTCTTCATAAAAATCACACTGTTGAGAAGCTGAATAACCCAAACACATTTTTAACATGTACAAAAGCAACAATACCCTTAAAACAATCCTTTTCTCAAGTCCATAGAATCCTGTAATTGTTACTTTACTAAGAAACAATTAGCAAAGTTAGAATGCCTATTCTAATAGGTATAGATAGAGTTTCTTAATGACTATATCAATGGCTTCGTTGGTAATTTAACCACAAGAGATAGCAAGGGAAGGGAGAAGAGAAAGTATGGAAGGAAAAATAAATTCATTTGTATAGATATTACAAACTAGATTTCACCACCCTTGTTCATGGTGAAGAGTATCTTAACCACCAAAAAGTCCTGTTGAAGTCAATGGTAACACTAGAAAAACAGGGTACTACACAAATTATGAGTAGATGGGGCATTGTCTGGTCTCAGATTTGACATAATTAAGAAAAGATACCAGGCTAGCAATTAGAGATGCAAGTCTGAATGAATTAAGCCAAGCTTTAGAAGAACGGTAAAATCCTGGCTTTACTGACACTAATGTAAACACCATTCAAGTCAATGGTGACAGAAATTTACAGATAGATGTGCAAGTCATTCACATAAATGTAGCCTGTGTGACTAGATGACAAGGTCCAGTGAAAGAGCATAGTAAGTGAATAGTTCAGGGACTGGACAAAGAAAGGAGGCATTTCCAACAAACAGAATTACAAGATTGAAGAGACAGGAAGAGAATAATTAGGAACCTAAATTTTCACGAGTAAGCTTCCTCAGAAACCTAAATTGCTCTTGTGCATGCCTCAAGGTATCACTATCCTAGGTTAATGGAACATTTTGCATTTATCTCATATCTAAACATATTTGGGATTTATTAAATAGGTACCCTTTTGCTCTCAGGGCCCAATTCAGTAAGCATGCGCAAAACATGATTAATAAACTCTAACAAAGGCCAACAGCTATGGCCAATTTCATTCAAAAACAGGAAAGGAATACTACCTACCTTTCTCTCTGTCAGCTGCTAGCTAGACCATTTCTTCCAGGAAATGGAAGATCTCAGTTCTACGCCCTCCTCAGCCTGAGTTGGTTCAAACTCATCTCTCTCACAACCAGGTTGGAGAGAGGCTGAAGCTGGGCAAGTGTACAGCCATAAATGCAAGATTAATGAAGCTAGGAACAGGGAGCATTAGAGGCAGCCTAGCCCAATAATGAGGGCATTGCCTTGGGAATAGGGAGATGGGTTTCAGACTGTCATTCAATAAGTATAGTACACATATTTCCATTGAAGAGTCACTGGATGAAATTTGTAAACAGAATTGGCAGCAGGGACCAGAGCCTGCATCTGAAATCAGCGAGTCAAAATCAATCATTAAAATACCTTTATGGATCTGGGGTTTAGCTTTTTGGTCAGTCGAGTCAATGACAACATTTTCTAGTTTCAGCAGCATGGTTTAACCTCACCTCGATATAGATCCAGCATGCAACTTTTAACATTTTTTCCCCACCTCTCTTCCTCCCCCCTCCTTTTATATTTCTAAAATATTCCCTTTTATAAGAGTTCAGATCATGGGAACACACATATTCACTTCTTCCACTGGTGTCTTGAGCTTATAGAGAAAGTTTAAAATCACATTTCTTCTGACCATACCCTTCCTGCATGCCAGTCTAGAAAGAGTTAGTTCAAGTATAAACTCAGCTTCCATGGCAGAAGCCTTAACAGCAGAAAGAAGGTATTTGAGGCCCATGCTATACATAGCACATATATTTTTCAAGATACTAAGGAATATATAGCAGTACCTAAGTCCTAATGACTTTTATTAGTAAACTAAGATAACTAAGTGCTATATATCCAAGTGAAAATGGTTGTATAACATTGGAGCAGCTGCTTTATAGGACTGTAAATGGACCACTGCAGATAAAGGATGATTGCCCAGGAGAAACTGGTGAGTAAAAAGCCCTATATTATTAAGATGGCATTAGGTTGCCTTAGAGATAAGTATCTATAGCCCCAGCCACAAAATAAATGAGAAAAAAGCAGAAAGAAACTGTTGGAACTAATATTATTAATTTGTATAAAATATATGCATTTCAATTAATAAAAATATGAAAATTAATCACTCCAATAAACATAATGCCACTGCTATGTATTTTGCAAGAAATTCTCCTCTCACATATTCACAAATAGCCTTATGAAAACAACTGAGATTCCACTCATATAAAACTGAGAGGAAAGATTGATCCAATTTCAGTAATATTGCAGATGAATAATTAATGCATGTGAATTATGTTAATAATCAAGTAGTAAGGTATAGAGCTTTTCAAATACTAGCCTATTTAATCTGTTTAGTAACTTTCAAGACAAAGTTCTATAAAACCCTAATTTGATAAGGCAGATGAAGAGCTACTCTTTACTAATTTTTTTGTGAACAAGAAATTCACTCTCATGATATGTGGCAACAGTAACATGAAATACAAAAAAGTATGGTATCCAAAATATTCTTCAAAATGGTTTATAATGTTGAATTCACAAAGGGTGCTGCCCTAATGTATAAATCAAAATGTTCTCTCCCTATACTTAATACATTTATGCACATTTAGGAATATAATTCATGACGGTTTATGAAACGAATAAAAGACAGAGCCATGCAACATGCATTTTAATCTATAGTCATGCAGTTTCAAAATATTCCATGGAGGATTGCATAAGATCTGTGTTTTAAGCAAGAAGCAAAATAAAAAAATGCAATGGAAATTGAAATACTAATTAGTATTTCTTATGGATTTATTGGAATTAAATTTGTAATTTCACTTATGCTCAGACCATTGGGTAGTAACTTTGAACCATCCAAGATAATATCCCTAGTCACATGTACACAGAGATATTGATGTATAAATACAGGAATATTTTTAACTCACTGTAATTTAAAATGAATTTAAGATTACAACACCATGGAATAATCAATCATACTGGTTTCTCCACAATTCAGTCTCTAAAACCAGCAACCTGCTATAGCCTGGGATAGAGTAAAAAAAACCCAAACATACAAATAATTAAAAGCAAAAGCAAAAATAAAAGCAGGACCATGCTCTTCACGCACGCACCTGGAGGAACAACTCCAATACCATCATCAACATCATAATCTGAGATGTCACTATCACTGATTCGCTGAGATCCTGCACAACAGTAAGGCAAATAAATATCCTGTATATCTAGATGTATTGTAAAATGTAAAAATATATTTAAATAAAAAATTCACTTACTGCTAAGTGTCAAAAGATTAGTTTAAATTTAAATACTATGAGGTGAGAATCAAACTTCTGTGACTTAGAATGAGGGCATAGTTTGATCTAATGCATCAATTACTATAGTATACAGCTCCTGTAACTGTTCCCTAAAAGTGCCTCTATATAGTTACACACTAGTTGGAATGTATTACTTTTCCTCATCTCAACATACCGGTGAAAGATCATAAAAAGCAGCTTGGAAAATTTATTTCCAATTTGTTCCCTATTTTTTTCATATTCTCAAAATAAAATTTATTTTCAGTTTAAGCATGAGTTACAGCCTACAGATATTTTTATACAGTAGCCACTTCAACCACATTACACAAACCTTGGGAAATGATGATTCTAAGAAATACCCCTTTTTAAAATAATTATTTTCATCTTTAAAGTCACCAAAAGTTATAGGTGTTCAGAAAATAATTAAGTTTTGGCATACTTTTCCTTTAATAGGATTTTCACCTTCCAAAAAATACACTTTTTTCAGACTAACTGTATGCTAAAAACTGCTTACAGGCATTAAGACTACTTCATAAATTATTCCCATATTTAAATGGAAGAGGAGAGCAATGGAATTTAGACCTACTTTGTAGTTTTTTGCTAGAGCTTTCTCCACCATGGACATGTCTCCTGGGCATGAAAGGTGATGGCTGAGGCAGAGGTAGTGAGGATTCATCATGTGTCTGTAGTTTATACCAATGTGGTTCATCATCTAAAAGTGCTGTCTCCAGCTCTATAAGGATCTAGGGGGAAATTTATCAAGCTTAGTCTTAGCTTTAAACTGTGTTGAAACTACAGTATATAGAATTATTTTAATAAAAATAGAGATGTTAGCCTTTTGTTAGATACTTAAAATATGACTACTGTAATTGAAATGTTATTGTATATATCACCTCTCCAAGGAATTCACTCTCTTCTTCTTGTACTCTTGGTTGATCCCATACAGTTATTTCTAGCATTCGTTCTCTAAAATCTCTACGATGTACATGTGAATAGAGAAAAGTTTGGTTCCATTTTGGTTCTAGGCTTTTCTTTACTGTTTTGGTCCTCCTTTTACTTTTATCACTGAAACACAAATATTTCTTGTAAATTATAAAGCAGAAACAAAACACATACTGACATCTAGTTACCACTGCTAACACTGCCTTTGCCCTTTCTTAATTTAAGTGACACTGAACTCATATGTTTAAAAGAGATAGGTTTACTGCACTTCAGAGACCAGGGTCAGACATATGTCCATGGGGCTAATTTTCTGTAGCTTGACACTGATTATAGATACATGTGGTTTTATATGTTTTAGAAAAAGCTGTGAATAACTATTACAACAGTTTTATGGCTCATCTAAATTTTAATAAATTAAAGGAATTAATATAAGTGAAATATTCAGATGTATGACTATGGCATATAAATGTTCAGTTGATACAGCATATATTTTTACTTGTTATATTACCTTCTATCTGGAAGAAAATACATTTTTACATAGGGATTCCTGGGACGGCCATCTACTCTAGGTGGCAGATCTGTTGCTTGTAGAACATTTACTATTAACTGATGACCCACTTTGTCATACCACAGTTTTACCTAAAAAACCCAAGTTACCAGAAATTATTCATGAAAATGAAAGAATGTAAAATTATCTATACTTTACACTATTAGCCAAAACACAAATGTAATTCAGTTTTTTGGGAGAAAGGTCAACGGTTTTATGCAGTTTTCCGAAGAATTTGTGTGTGCATGGACAAAATTTCAGTGTGGTTTATAATAGCAGAAATAATATAATCTCAGATACATAAACTAAACAAATTGATCTCATGCAGTTTGGAAAAATCCATGACAATATTTAATAAAATATTCATATTTCTCCATTGCATTTTTAGGCATTTCTGGCATTTAAATTACTAACTCATTCAACCATGTCTTGTTCAATGGCATGAGGATGGAGGTAGGAGAGGCACAGATACCAATCAGTAATATTTTTGCCATCTCAACTCTGTTTTACTGAAGTGATACTATGCTGTGACTTACATTGGAGCAAATCTACTTTCCTAGTACTATGAAATACCCCTGAGAAGGCTCATTCTGCAGGCCAACCCTTGAAGCAGTTTTGGAATGCATTTAACCTGACTAGTTTAACACATGGATATGTGAACACTATGAAATGCGACTAATTTATTTTTTAAAGGAATCATACTACTTGGATGTTTCTGAATCTGTTTTCTGCCTAGAACTCAGTATGCTAACAGAGTAACTCCAATCCTTTAGAGAGACTGGAATCACATACAAATCAAACTCTATTCATTACATCTCTGTTGGGCACAACTTCAATTAGCATGATAGGGAATTGCATGAGTTAATGTTGACCTATACTGAAATGCATTACTGAACAAAAGAGACATGCCAGCAATACAACTCTTCAAATGTCCCACACTTTTTGCATTAAACAAAAAGAATGGAAGCAAGCTAACGTTTTTCTTTCAACGTATTACCTATATAGTATAATATATCCAGATATATCTCATTATTACCACCAAAAAAATATACTGTATCAGATAAATATTCTCTCTGGATACTAATATACACTTACAGAAAGTTGCCCTGGTAGGACCTGTGGAGCATCTTTCAGAGCTCCAGGACTAGTTGGAGAAATAACAGAAATAGAAGGCCTTTCCATCTTCTGAGATTCAAAAGAACTTGAACCTAAAAGCATGAGAGAAATATGTCAATTTTAGATCTGAGATTTGGTAGCCAATTTTCTTAGATAGTAAAGTTACTTACCTTAGTAACTGGAGATCTTTGTGATGTACTGCCCATAAGCACATTCCACTGTGGGCACGCATGTGACTCTAGCACTCAATCTCAGAGAAATTTTTGCCTTTTTGCATGCACTCTGACTCTGGGCATAAATGGCAGTTCCCTCTCTTCAATTTCCTCTCAGCTGCAGAATCCCAGAATGCAAGGGACAATTCAAGGACTTCTAAGGAAGAGAAGGCAGGATATGGAATGTGCGTGTGGACAAAACATCTTGAAGAACTCCAGTTACTGAGGTAAGTAACTTCTCTTTTTCCTTTGAGTGCTTGTCCATAGGCACATTCTGTTCGCAGTAACACCAAAAAAAAAAAGATGTCTGATTGCTATGAAGGCAGGTCATACTCTTAGGTGAACAACAGTGGGAAGACTGCTTTGCCAAATGCAGCATCTGTTCTGACAGTCTACGTGAAAGTGTAGTGCTTGGCTGAAAGTGTTCATGGACCTTCAAGTGACTGTTTTGCAGATGGCCAGAATGGAGCCATGCAGGAGACCACTGATGCAGCATGGGTTCTGATGGAATGCACGCTAATCATCTTAGTGTTTGCAAGGCATATCTTGATAGTCCTGTACGGATATACAGGCAAAGTCCTTCCCTGAAGAGTATATCAAGCTCTCAGACAAAAAGGTTTGGAAAGACAAATACATGGATCTGGTAACTAAGCTGAAAATCAGTGACTAGCTCAGGAAACTACTTGGAGTGAGTCACAGGAAGAACTTGTCCAGATAGAACAGTATAGGGAGAGAAGTTATTCAAACCATGAAGAATGGTGACAGATAGAGAAGAAAGCAGGGACTTGTTAGGGCTCTGGGTACTAGATTCTGATTCCCCTGAGAAACTGGGTTTCACAAGAGGGAATACTGTAGTCAGAGCCTGCAGGACTTTGGCATCCATGGGCAGGGATCAGGTTTACATTGGCCGGTGATAAGCTGAGATAGCAAGTAAGGGTAGTGCTGATGAACAAGTGCTCTAACTTGCAATCTATGCAATAGTCCAAATTAGTCAAAATAGAGGAAAAGTGGTACCTCATACAAAATCAGAGAGAGAAACTAGACCACTTAGCAAAGCCAGTTTGTCTAGTGCAATTTTTCTATGAATGAGTGCATATAAACAGGCCTACCTCACTGCCCAGAGCCATCCAACATCTAGTCTAATGATATGGATGGTGTGCAGATCCATGTGGAGAAGATGTTGGATCCCTGGAAGATAAGTTCCAGGGCTCATCACTTGTGTGAGGTGCCATGGCCAGGTTAAAGCTAGCAGGATCAGATGAGTGGATTTCCTCCTCACCTTGTGCAGTACTTAAGGATTACATGCATAGGTGGGAAGACATATAAAAGTTTCCCTGATCAAAGGAGAAGAAAGGCATTGGACAATAATGCTGGGCTGAAGCAAAGGGGGAAAGAATCTGACCTTTTTGATAAAATCTGAGAGAAAGAGGTTGATGTCTGCAAAAACGTCCTACAAGAACAGACCTGTTGATTTCACCTATGGCTTACATGTGCACATTGAGACTGCCCACTGAATATTCTGAAGGTAAAGGAAGTGCACCACTGAGAGGTTTGCACCAGTTTCAAAGGATGACTTTCCTCTTTGGATGGTGGGGGAATATCTTGTACCCTCTTGTCTACTGAGACAGAAATCTGTAGTGATATTATTGGTCATAATCTGGACATGACATCCTAAAATGGGATGCAGGCTTTGTATTACCACATTGATCTGAAACTTTGCCTTCTTGGCAAACCCAGAACCTGTACATGGAGATTATTTGTGTGTACTCTTTACCCTCACAAAAAGCTGTTCATCATGTCTTTCAATGATAATGGGAGGCTCACTACAGGTGTTCACTAGGCTGTTTCAGCATGCAGAATGGACCTGATCAGAAGAAAAATGGTTACCTCCATGTTTGGGGAATGTCTTTCAGGAAAAGAAAAAAAACTGAAACAATACCTTCCTGTATCTGAGATGTAGTCTGTAACCTATGATGTAACATGGGTGCAGAAAACCACATGTCCTAGAATAAACAGACAAATGCTAGTAGTTGTTGACAAATTTGCCTCCAGTGTGAGTCTGGAGCTTGGTAAACCTTGTCTGACAGCGAATCTAGACTAGCCTCTACAAATTCTAGTCTCTGAACTGCCTTCAGATTTTGGTTTATTTGGAGATTCAAGGCATGGAACAATCACATGATAGCAAATAAATATCCCATTAATCATGAGAACTGCCTTTCACCATCTAGCTATCTGGGTAAGGATATTATGAGATTCTCTTCCCCTTGAGATGAGCTGCTATCATGCAAGGGAGAAACCAAATGGTAGGAGCTTGTACAAGCAGTGATCCTGGTCTACCACAAATCACAGGTATTTTCTGTGAAAAGGCATGATATTGACAGAAGAGTAGGCATCTTGAAGATCAAGAGATGTGAAGCAGTTTGATAGTTTCAGAGGGGCGATTATGGTGACTAGTATTACCATCTTGAACTTGAGTTTGTGACTGAAGCTTGAGTTCCCTTAAGATGAAGACGAGTTAGCTCTTCCTCTCTTCATTCAGGAAATAATAAATGTAAATCCTCTTTCCCTTATTGAGGTACCTCAAATAAGGCTCCTAGAGCTAGGATGAAAATCTTCTGTCAAAGCACAATCTCATGAGAAACGTCCCTAAAAAGCACAGGGTTAAGAGATTAGAGGCATGCACCACACTGATTTGGCTGGAATAGCTAGCCAGGATAGCACACATGACCACTAGTCTCTGGTGATATTGGTTGATGCTTGCCAGAAGTAGGCCAAGCAGTATCCAAAAGATAAGGGAAAGGATGACAGAATCTCTGATAGTGAGTGGCCTTGTCCCAGTGTAGAGTTGTGATCTTCAGAATTGTAGTCACAGAAATCATTGAGAAGTAGAGCAGGAAGGACCTCCTGAGATCATCTAGTACAACCCCCAGCCTGAAGAAGGATCATCCATATCCAAACCATTCTATACAATCCATAGCAGGGGTCCTACAAGGAAAGTTGAAGTAGCAGCAGCTGGGACCACAACTGAGGACAGAAGGACACCAGTAGAAAATTTTCTAGCAATGGATGGAATGGGGTAGCTGTAGACCACAGAATTGCACAATGTCTTGGGCAACAGGTCTCTGCCAGAGTTCTAGATGCTGAAGCAGAAGTAATTAATGAAGTGCATGTGTTGTGGTAGCTCAGCACCAGAGGGACAACTACCAAATACCTAAGGTGCTTCTCCTTGTCTCTTCACAGCATGAAAGAAGTAGGAACTCTGGATCTGGGTGCCGGGAGTAGAATACTTCTGAATTTCATCAGAAGCCATATAGGGGTGTGAAGTCTTGGAAGTGGACAAGAAAGGAGACGATAAAGAGCATCTCTTCAAGAAATCCTGTGATGGGACCTTCCCCATCAAACTCTCTCTCAGATTGGGTTTACCAGAGGAGCACTTCTCTGCTGCTGATGCTGTTGGGGATTACATGCAGTCAGGTGAGTGTTGAGATTTGGCATCCAAGGCTGACCCAACAGATTTACTGAAAAAGTAAACCAGCGCAAGCTTTGTGGTCCATCCTAGACCATGAAGTGAAGGATTTGCGAGTCCTTAAGTACTTGGCACACTCAAGTAAATGCAAATGCTCCTGTTCAAAGGGCCCTGTTCAGCAG